ATATGGTTATAGTGATTTGGAATCAGCTCGTCGAAAGAAAACGAAAGTGTCTTTTTCGCCGAGACGATCGGAGGCAAAATGCCAGAGTTATTGATGTTCAAAGTGACACTAAGTCATTTTTGGCACTTATTGTCACTTTGAACGTCAATAACTCTGGCATTTTGCCTCCGATCATCTTCTCGCATAAAACACTTCCGTTTACTTTCGACGAGCTATCCAGATTTTGATTTTAACATAATTAGGTTTTAACGTTTGCGGCTGTGAGCTCACAAGTTCCCCAAGCGCAGTCTAGAAAAGAGTCGCTTCCCACACGATTGCCAGGCAATGACATTGTAATGAATCTCTTCGCTGAGTCTCAAAGATTTTTTTTCGGATTTTTGGGTGTCATTCTTGGACACAAATATGCATGATCATCGTACCCCACCTACTGATCATGGTACCCGATAGGTGGGGTACCATGAACATAATGCACGGTCCCAATATTTTATCCCCAGCTCAGAAATGGTTTGATTGAGAGAAATTATTTCCTAAGCATGTTGTATCTAAGGGACATAGCTCCCATCTGAGCCCATGATCCAGCTGCCATCTACCACCATAGGGGAGGGAAGGCCTAAACCAAAAAAGTGATCATGGTACCGCGCTCTCCCTTACTATGTGGTTGGGGCGTCGGAGGGGGGGGGGGGGAGAATCCATGACCACTTTGCGTGGTCAAGCCGACAGTGCTGGGAATGACGGTGCATGACCACAATGTGATCAGGCTGGTGAGCAGGCCGGAAGAGGGGGAGGGGGGTGGTGTCCATGAACGACCGTTTCCTTTCCTGGCATGACCACATTGTGGATATTAATGGCCATTCCGTCACGCCCACATTGTGGAATTTGAAACGCCTTTTCTTTTCCCTAACCAGCTCTGGGTCTGCCTAAAAGCCCGGAAATCTGCATGTTTTTTGAGCTTTTTTGGACCATATTTTCAGTTATGCCATTCGTTAGCGGTGAAGAAACCTTCGCAGGTTTGGCCTGGAATGACTGTAGAATCTTGAATAGGCTTCTAGGTCAATTCCTTGATTTTCTAAAATTCGTTGGAACAGTGAACAACTAATAACCACATTGTGGACAGTTCATGCATCAGCATCACTAGTATTACTAAGAGTTTAACACTTAAGCTCCGAGGATAGTTCCTGACCCGTGCCGAGTTATTTAGAAGAGGAAACTTACTACAAGTACAAGATATCAAAGTTAACAGGATCTGAAGTGCATCTGAAAGATGGAACCATTATAAAAATTTATCATTCTTTAAAATGCACTATGATCGATAGTAAGACCAGGACTTATACCCCATAGTAGACATGTAACCGACAGTCCGAGAGGTTTACTACTCGTATAATCAAAAGTACAAAGTCACAATAGCACTTGAGTCCCTGCGGTGACGTTCACGGTTTTGTTCTAAAAACTATAGGTTCTCTAAAATTAATTACGCGAATCACCCCTATTTTAGGCTCGCTACACTAGGATGCCCCCTTAACGCATTTTGTTTCCGGCCAAAACATTTTACTACTGGGCTACTAGGTCGGGTGAGTAGTAGACAAACGATGCAAAAAGGCTTTCCAACACCAAATAAGGTGCCCTTGCTCTTTTACTCCACCAAGGTGACAGCCCTGCAGGCCTAGCTATATTTTCGCCAGACGCGTCGCAACGTAAAAGTTCATCGTGAGATATTGTAAAGCCTGCTTCGCTAGACGTTGGTATGACGGGCGTCTACCCAGTAACTGGTAATTTCTGACATTTGGGTTAACAATGTATACTTTACATAGCAAATGCATTCTAGATAGACGGTGCGTATACTACATTCCATCGGTAATCTTACCTGACAAAACCAACATGGGACTAAATGCACACATCAAGTACAAAATAGGAACCATGTTTGTGTTTGAGGTGCACGCCAGGTAGTTGTTGAGGCTGTAAAAAAATAAAAAATAAAAAAACCTGCATTAAAACAAGGCTCAAGTAAGTAAGTTTTAGAAACTAGAATTTAGAATTTGTTTATTTAAAGAGTATCTTACACCAATTCGACCCGAAAACAATGTTTTTTGACTAAGCGATCAGCGAGGCCTATTACTCCGTCGGGTCGGAAAAAACTTTTACTATCTGTCTGTGTATCTGTGTATCTGTGTATCAGTCCGCACGATAACTCGAGAACGAATTGAGTTAGCGACCTTGGATTTTTCAGGGTCGTTATGTGTTACAAAAAGACAGATCACGTTCGTAGATGAGCATTCTAGCTCACAAATGAGATTTTTAGGCCCCCCCAAGGGGGCCTTTCTGCTCGCGTGCGAGTGCTTCTTTTTAGGCCCCCCCAAGGGGGCCTTTCTGCTCGCGTGCGAGTGCTTCTTTTTCTTCCTCCGAATTCATTAAGGTAGCGCGACTTCTGTTGTACAGATTCTAATAAAATTTTATCGAAAAATCAATCCAAAAATTAGATTTCATTTGACTAT